TATGCTAAACTATCATTCAATCTTGTATTTATCTGCAACACTCTTAGCATCTTTCCCAGACCTGAAAAAGAGCTCTGTGTAAGTAAAAAGCTTGTCTCTCTCACCAACAGGAGTTGGTCCAATAAAAGATATTACCTCACATATCTTGTCTCTCTAACAGTGCCCAGTATATCCAGCAGACCCCAATGAAAGCTGCCTATTAGACAAACCCAACTGGCTGGCTGATGCAAAGGAACCAATATTTCAGGATGGTTATTTTAAAAGAAATAAAGTAAATAAAAATAAACTTTTTTCCTGCTAGTCAGCACCATCCTCCTACTATGTATCACTAATTCTGCTTATAGGAGTTGATTTCTGTGGTAGCTGCAGCAAAGGGAACTGAATTCACCATTGCATGCAATATATTGACTTTGTGTAGAAAGGGGGGTTGGGACCCCTCAGGGGGTCGCAAGGTTATTACATGTTGAGTCGCAAGCTGTCAGCCTCCATCCTAAAACCCGCTTTGCCTCCAGCATTGGTAATGGTGTTAAATATATTAAAAAGTGTTTTTAATTTATAAGGGGGTCACGCTCAGAGGGCTTGCTATGTGAAAGGGGTCACCAGTACAAAAATTTGAGAACCGCTGGCGTAGAAGATAAATATATATTAAGCCACCTTACTAGTATTATTGGTCATGCTACGTACAGAAAGACATGGCTATGTAATTTTATTAATAATGATGATACTTAGCTTTTCAAAATGCTCTATATTTTCAAAGTGATTTACAAACATTAATGAATCCTCCCAATGTATTTATCAGTGCCTGCATAGAAAAATATCTAAAATCAGAGAAAAGCATAAAGTTTTCAGGGGTTATTTTTTTTTAGGGGGAGGACTGGAGTTTCTATGTTGATTAAAAACATTTTTGATGGGGCACATCTACACTCAGAAGCTTGGATACTTGTGTAATAATCCCTTCCTAATTGAAAAGAGATCACTTAATCCTCACCTTCACACTGAACACCACATCTGGCATGAATTATTACACCATAACTCACATCCCGTCGTAGGTTTTATTGGTTAATTGGAGTTTAAGATTTGGTGTATTGTTTCTTAACAATTAAGTGTCTTTTAACCTGAACAAAAACATGGAATGAGTTAAGAGGAAAAGTTAGGCTTTTATGATGTATCCAGCCAAGTTGCTAATCTAGCCTCAAAATGTCACAACTCAGGGCTGGTCCACACTAAGCCCCCAGTTCGAACTAAGATACGCAACTTCAGCTACATGAATAACGTAGCTGAAGTCGAAGTATCTTAGTTCGAACTTAAAGGTACTTATCGCGGGTCCACACGCGGCAGACAGGCTCCCCCGTCGACTCCGCCTACTCCTCTCGCGGAGCAGGATTACTGGCGTTGATGGCGAGCACTTCCGGGATCGATTTATCACGTCTAGACAAGACGCGATAAATCAATCCCAGAAGATTGATTGCTTGCCGCCGAACCAGCGGGTAAGTATAGATGTACCCTTAGATGCCATTGGAGCATCTTCAAGGAGACATTTTGTCAACACTGTCACTCTGACTCTGCTTTGTGTTTTGAGTTTTAGGGGTATAACTTCATAGTGATGTTATATATATACACATACATACACACACGCAATGCTTGTGTAATTTCCTGCACACTAAAGTGAAAATATACCATTCTAGACCTAAATTCTCTTGCTCTTGTGCGCACTTTGACTGTAAGCAGAGACAGAGCAGGCTGAATATAGTGGTTCAAAGTTCATGGCCAGACATAAAATTTGTAACTGGATTTGTATTATAAACTAGTCCAATATTTTAGCTCAAAAGGAAGAACTTTAAGAAAGTAGGAGTGAAATAAGATTTAGATAAATACAGGTTGAAAGAGCCATTCTATGATGGTTGTGATGTCACTCAGTGTCACATAGAAACCAGGAAGTACAGATCAGATCTCTCAGGATTTTAAGAATGTAATAATTGTCAGGGTTTTTTTTAAACACTGAGCACTAAAGACATTTTAAAACAATATCTATATACTCTCTTAAAAATATCTTGCAAGCAGAATTTTTGTGGAAGTGAAAAGAGATTGCTTGATTAAAAGAATCCCCTCTATCCCAAAAACCTTTGCAGTTCACCTTTAACTTTTGGACTTTTATGCATTTAAATTCTTAACTTTAATGTGCCGTTAACATAGCTTTTTAGCATTTCATTATTTTAGTTTCCTTCACAGAGTTTGACACTGGATAGGGTGACCATATGTCCCGTTTTAGCCAGGACAGTTCCTTTTTTAAGTCCTATCTGGGCTGTCCTGACTTATTTGACAAATGCCCACTTTTGCCAAAAAAGTGGGGCATGCACCTCTAGCAGGGTGCAGAAGAACATGCGGGGGAAGGGCGGGCAGGGTTTGGGTGAGCAGCAATGCCAGCCCCGTGCACGGGAAGAGGGAAGAGGGGCAGGGAACAGGCCAGCCCCACATGCAGGGAAATATGGTTACCCTAACACTGGAAGATAAAAAACTCAATAAATACATTTAAAATTTCTATGCATTTTTCAATATAATAGTTTTAAAGGGGAAGGAAGCATTTTTATATATACAATTCATGACACTTTTAATATTTTAAATTCAAACTGGGTTAAGATCATAATAGTAATTTCCAAAGTGATTCAGATAGTGAACCTGCTAATTTCATCCTTACTAATATGTAAAGTCTAAGTGGCTGTCTCATAATTTTTCAGTATTGCTATTTCAGTAGCATGTTGATATATTGTAATGGAGATTAGAGTAACTACTTTCCCCCCCAAGATTGGTTCAGATATGATTAAATGTCAGGCTGGAGAAATGTGCTTGGAAATTACATGAAAGAAAAGTACATTAAAAAAGCACAACTGTTCCTGGGCTAGAGGAAAACAAATGTCCTCAAACACTATGCTTATCAGTGTTTACAGTGTTAAGATCTCTCATATAATTCAGTTCCATTTTATTTTCTCCTTTAATCAATATCATCCACATGATAAGTATATGTCACTATTTTTATAATTAAAATCCATTTAAAAATAATCAATTGATACAAAATTAGCAAACGGTGTTTGTTTTAATACTCATGAAAAAGGTCTCTTCCAACTAGAGGAAATTTTAAAAAGCCTACCAGATTATCTGACATGAGGGATCTAATTTCAATCCTGATCTTGGAGAATTAGTCCCTGTCTCTCTAGATCCCAGCCACAAAGATATAATTCAAGCCAAATGAAGATAAAAAAAAATGCTGCAAAAATTACAGAAGAAAAGTGCTATTAACCATGAGCTTTGGAGAGTTGTTGGTCTGGATTCATACTATAACCTTTGCAATTTATATTAATGTGGAGAGAAGAAATGTTAGTAAAGTAAGTGAAATCAAGAAGACAATAATGAAGCACAGCTGGAGTGTGTGTTACTAAAACTGTTAGTGGCTTGATGCAAATATGTTCTTAGGGCATCCAAATTTTTTCAACTCTTTCATAAGTAGTTCCTTAAAAGTTAATTTATACAAAATAGGAAGGTTTATTGTACTGAACATATTTTCATTATGCAGAAGCCAAATTACATAACATTTTTTCAACTTTCAACCTGTGAAAAATAAAGCTATTTTGTAAATATCTTATCTGAAAATATAGATTACCTTATTCATTGAGCCAAATTTTCCAAAGAAAACTCAAATCAGACTAAGTTTTCATGATCAGAATTGCAACGCATTTTTGTGTATTCCAAAACCTCTCACATGCGTTTTCATTTTGGTCTGACATTATCACCTTAATTTCCCCTCCCGTGTTATAATTGCCTCTTCAGCAACTATAAGAATAAAATATGCAAAACTGCCAAACTGTTTCAGGAAGCTGATTATGGGGGTGATAAGAGGGTGTAATCAGTTCTCCGTTACTCCAAAGGTCAATGAAATGTGACCTCAACTCATTCTGCATCTCTGAAATTTGACTGATCCCCCATGAGCCTAGGCAGAGGTTACTCTTAAGTCTGGATCTCCCCACATGCTGCATCACCAGATTGTAAAACCATCTTCAGATATAAATCCAATCAATATTTGAAAACACTGCAGCTCATTTGAAATGATCTATATCCGGGGTTAGTCCGCTTTTTAAGTGCCTTGTGCAGCCTTCCCCTCCTCCCTCCCTCCCGTTTGGAAAGCACTGGTTCACCAGCAACCTTTGGTTTCCTTGTTTTTTGAGTTTGTAGAGAATGGATGTGCAGGTAATGCTCTGGGGGATGAATGGGTGGGTGGTAACTTACTACAATATTCACAAAGCTGCATTACTAGAGACCTTGAACCTAGATGCGCAGCTGTCTTGCTATAGAGTAATGAAATTATAAATGAATATTGGGTTCCCCAACAATGAAGTTAGGATCCCTCAAACTCTTTCTGAAATATCCCTTTTTGAAACCTGTACAGAGCATTTCACTTAGTTCAGTCAAAACCTTGGGAATTGGAGCTGCATAAAATGTTCATCACAACAACTGGAATCACACAAAACTCACCTGGTTTTAGATTGTTACAAACTCATAACTCAGCACAGGGTCATTAAAAGGTTTGTGATCTTTTCTGAGCATGTCTAGATTCAGTTTTTAAATGAAACTGGGCTGATTTATGATCTGCCACTGAATTCATGCTAGGCTTACAGCTTTGAATGAGTTTCATTTTTGTTTGAACCTGAAACCCAAAGTGAAATTCAGGGATTGCAGACTTACAGGTTTAAATTTTCGGGACTTCATATTTTTAATTCATGTGAGTTTACAGTTCTGTTTGGAACCAAATAATCGCTCTTGAAAACACAATTCCTACCTTAAAGTTTATTACTCTAGATCATTTTTAAGTTTTATGATTCACTCATCAACAATTCAAATTAACATTTAATCAGTACTGGCAAAATTCAGATGGTCTATGCAAGGTCACATGCACCAAGTGAATCCCCCAAGCCCTTGACTAGTGACTTGCGACTTGCATAGGACTTAACTGGTACATAGGAGCTTGTGTGTGCCTCGTGAATTGAAGCAAATTTCATCTTACCGGTTAAAATTCTGACTGAAGTCAAAGGACTATAGAAAGGGCCATGCAAAATATGACTGAAGTTGCTTAATTCAGATTGTAATATGTCCTACCATATGCTATGAAAGCTGTGGGATAGCCCTGACTCGTCATACAGGAAGCCCAATCAGCTTCTTATTTGATCAAAGTGAAGGGAACAGACTTTTTTTTTAAAGGTACTGTATCCACTTTTTTTCCTCCCAATCTACACACATGTGCTGCACTGATTGTTATCAGTGAGACAAAGACCTAGAGTTGCAATGGAGCAGAACATTATCTAACAATGTTGTGATTCTATTATTGGAAAAAAGATGGAAAAATACTCCTCTGAGAATGCCTTTTCATTATATGGCATAAGGAAATGTTTTGTACTTTAGTATGGTGCATTTCATCAGTAAATGAGATTTATCTTAGCAGAGGATACAGAAATACCTACAGAAAATAAATTGTTTGAGACACTGTCAAGTCTCATCAAAGTGCTTGCAGGTCTCATTTCCAGACCAATGAGACAATAGTGTGTCAAGGAAAATAATCTATAGCAAAGTATTTTATGAAAAAAATACCAAACAAAATTTTAGTGCAAACCCGTTTGGTATTTGCAGAGTCTTCATTTATTGAATACTTATGTCTCTCTTTCACTTCAAAGGTATGCAGCCCTAGAATCAGGCTGCATTATAAGAGAGTCTGCTCTATCAATAAAAGATATGTGCACGCAAATTCTGGGCACGTCTTCATCAGGTAGAATCACTGGCACAAAATTAAATAATAACATCAATATATACAATACTACAAAAAGCAAGAGAATTTTCTGATATCTCTTCCTGGCAAACTCTTCTGCCTCTACCCTGGATAATTTACATACAAGGAAATGAAACCATGCCTGTCAGCCAGAATATAGGACTCAAATCTAACTAGCATGGTTCTTTTTCTGAAGAGAATGGATTTAGCAGGCTTAGGCCACCGGCTTCATAAAGAGGTCAGGAGAGAGAGTGCTTTTTGGAGCATGTCAGCTCTCTATTTTGCAAGTTCCGAACTCCCGGCCCCATGCTCATTCATTTATTCACTCAAAGCAAGCTGCAAACTGTTTGCTTTTCTCTGTGTACTCTTTGGTACGAGCTTTGAAACCGGCACTTCCGCATTCCTGCAGCTGGTCACAACAATGGAGAGGATTGGCCACTCGACAAGGTGATTAGTACAGCGCTGCAAGCGTTTACATTCACACCCGTGAGTCGTAGCCACTCCGCTGCAGCTGTTATTCCTCTCGGAGATGTGGAGTACCTGCAGCGGTGTACCCAGGAAGATACAGCGCTGTAAGTGCCCTGCCAGTGTGGACAGGGAGTGAGTTACAGCACTGGGGGAGGCTTTACAGCGCTGTAACTTGCAAGTGTAGCCAAGGCCTGTGATGCATGAGAGGACATTGCTTAGTACGACCTTCTTCAATTCAAGTCAAACATTTATTTAAGGAAAATACTGTATAAATAAATGACAAGGTTAAAAATGATCTCAAACCCATCCTCCAGTATTGAACAAAAGACTCCTGTTTCTTTCCTTTCCTTCAGTATTCCTGTCTTATGTAGAATGACTCTCCTGTTTTGCGAGTAGTAATAAATTCACCATAATATCAATAAAAAAGCCAAGAGAAATAAAGCGGACAGCTTCTGCCTGCACCAGTAGAGCTGCTACTTTCAACATTTATTTAGTTCACCTCTTCTGGAGTTATATCTTTCCTCAATACCTGCTAGGGTAATACAGAAGGAATTTTATCTCTTTCATTTTAAAGAGAAGCAAGTCAGCTGCAGAGGAAAGAGCGTGATAACAGTGCAGTGCTAACATTATTATATTTTCACGCCTCTCATCATTTTCACAGCCAATCATTTTAGAAATACAGGACCATACTCTCAAAATATTTTAATGGACTCCCATTGGTTCCCCTTTCAATGACTGGGGCCTCCTCAGGTATTTTCTTCAAATGGACAAGATCAGTCCCTAGATGAGAGGGGTTTTTGCTATAGGCACAAGTTTTTAAAGGAGGGATAGCTCAGTGGTTTGAGCATTGGCCTGCTAAACCCAGGGTTGTAAATTTAATCCTTGAGAGGGCCACTTAGAATACTTGGTCCTGCTAATGAAGGCAGGGGGCTGGATTTGATGACCTTCCCTTCCAGTTCTAGGAGATAGGATATCTCCATTCATTTCGTTTATTTAATTTAATGCCAACCCATGCTATCCTGAGGTACCTAATATCTTCCCAGATACCAGAACAAATGGTCAACTCTCACTAGAACTGGACTGAGGTGAGGTGGTGTTTGGATTTTGACCCACATAAGGTTCAAAGCAGGATCTGCAGTTCAAGTTCGAAGCTGACAGCACTGCAATTTCATCAGTTATTCTCGGGGAACTTTAGCAAATGGTGAAGATCATGAGATTTTGCTAACTCACTACTGTAACATACTCTCTGGAAGGGAAATCCTCACTGTGAGATAATCAACCTCATCCGTCTGTCAGAAGGCAAGTCACTCAACCTGCTCTACAATGTGCTTTTATGTTGTCTCTATAAGTAATTCTTCTGTACTTTGCAGTAAACAAGGTAGTCCTTGACCCTAAATAATGTGCTGCTGGCTGTTTTCCCCATTAGTTATACTGGAGTTTTTACTCTCTTAACGGACAGTAGCTTGACCTCCATTGTGTTCTTAGAGTTAGAAAATAAATAAGCTATTTACTTTATTATACAGATTTTAGTTTATTCCCCTAACAGCTTGCTTCCTTCAGTACCGAACTCCCAAACAGTCAGAACTCCTCAGTGCTCATTCTGGGTCTGATCAAAAGCCCACTGACACCAATAGGATCCTTTTGACAGCAATGGATTTTGGATTAGGTCCTTTGATACTATCTACTTCTGTGCTAATTTCTAAGCAAAAAGGGGAAAGATTTTGTCCCTTTTATACGTTCACTGGCCACACCTCTACTCCATGCTTATTCCATATAACAGTGGTTAATTCCCACTGTTGGGTGCTATTATGGGAGCAGAAAGAATTTGTCTGCTGAGAGTGGATTAGGTCTCAGGCATACAATAGCATCCCATTTCCCCCCTGCTAGATACCTGCCTGACAGAAGCAAGGCACATGGTCAGTCAGGGGCTCAGACAGGAGGAACTAGCACATTAACAGCAATGTGAGAAAGTGGGGCCAGTTTGGTGATAGATGAGAAGCTCCTGGGCTCTTGAGGGGAATCTTCTGACACACAATCCAGAATACCTTGTTTGACAGAAGTAGTCACTGAGTATACTTAGCTTCCATCCCTCAGTTTAGGCACATTCTAGTAAAAAGAAAATTCTAGGATAAATAAATGCCTTGTATGAATGCAAAAGAAGTTATGCTTGTGCAGTAGGTGGAATTAGTAGAGTTATATTAGGGAAAATGCTCAGTACTGCTAGACCTAGTATAAAAGTAGCATTATAGAAATGGAAAGGGTATTAAGGATGAATAAAACACTAGAGGGATTTTAGGATCTTCTGTTTAGGAACTGAGGGAAAAATTTGGTCTGTGTTTATGGAAAGATAAAGGATAAAGAAGGAATTTTGCTAATATGTACAAGATTGTAAAGTAAACAGAGACTAGATGGTTCAAGACTATTTGGGATATGGTCAGATATAAGATAGCTATCGCCAGCTAAGAGAACACGAGCGTGTGAACTCAGGGTAAAGAAGAGTTTGAGGCATTTGGGGGCGGGGGGTAACTATGAAAAATAAGTTAGGCAAGACTGTGGAACAAATGAAAACTGTGGAGTAAATGAAAGAAGAGATTTATAGATTCCCAGGCCATTGTGATCATGTAGTGTGACCTAGTAGATAACACAGGCCATAGAACTTCCCCGAAATAATTCCCAGGGCATATTTTATAAAAGAACATTCAATCTTGATTTAAAAATTGTCAGTGATGGAGAATCTACCACAACCCTTGGTAAATTCTTCTCTCAATATTAAAAATTAGCTCCAGTCTGAATTTGTCTAGTTTCTACATCAAGCCATTGGATATTGTTAGATGTTTCTCTGCTAGATTGAAGAAACCACTATTAAATATTTGTTCCCTATGTAGGTACTTATAGACTGTGATCAAGTCACCTCTTAACTTTTTCTTTGTTAAGATAAATGTTTTGAGGTCTTTGAATCTTTCATTATAAAGGCAGGTTTTCTAATCCTTTAACCATATTCATGGTGTGATGGGTTGGATCACAGAAACCCCCTGGGAGCTGCCACCCGATGTGCTAAGACTACTTCTATCCCTGCTTTCCCTGCCAGCTCGGGACCCCAGCACCCTGTCTTGCTGAGCCAGACACTCCCGTCTGTTCCAACAAAGAACCAGGGTCTGAATTACTTGCCCCGAAGCTGCAGGTTTACCTGAAAGCAGCTAACAGAAGTGTTCCCGTCTTTAACCCTCAGATGCCCAACTCCCAATGGGGTCTAAACCCAAATAAATCCATTTTATTCATAAATTATTTGCCCTCTATAACACTGATAGAGAGATATGCACAGTTGTTTGCTCCCCCAGTATTAATACATACTCTGAGTTAATTAATAAGTAAAAAGTTATTTTATTAAATACAGAAAGTAGGATTTAAGTGGTTCCAAGTAGTAACAGACAGAACAAAGTAAGTCACCAAGCAAAATAAAATAAAATGCGCAAATCTATATCTAATCAAACTGAATACAGATAAGATCCTCACCAGTTCCAGAATGCTCCCTTTTACAGACTAATCTCCTTTTACCCTGGGTCCAGCAATTACTCACACCTCTTGCAGTCACTGCCCTTTGTTCCAGTTTCTTCCAAGTATCCTGGGGGGGTGGAGAGGCTCTCTCTTTAGCTAGCTTAAGACAAAATGGAGGGGTCTCCCAGGGGTTTAAATAGACTTTCTCTTGTGAGTGGAGACCCCCTCCTCACTCCTATGCAAAGTCCAGCTCCAAGATGGAGTTCTGGAGTCACCTGGGCAAGTCACATGTTCATGCATGACTTACAGTCTTTACAGGCAGAAGCCATTGTCCACATGGTATCTTGTATGTCTCCAGAAAGACTTCTTATGTGGATTGGAGCATTCCAAGATGCATTGTTCCCCAAGTTCTTCCTGATCGGGTACTTAACCTTTGAATTCCTTCCTAAAGAAGCTGACCAAATGCCTCACAAAGCTTACTTCGAAATCAAGCAAGTATACAGCCAATATTCTTAACCTCAAGTACAAAATGATATGCGTACAAATAGGATGAATAGATATAGTAGACCAAACATATTCCAGATATGTCATATTCCCATAAAGCATTATGGGGTACAGCATCACACATGGCTCTTCTCTGAACCCTCTCAAATTTATCAACATCCTTTTTTGATGACACCAGAACTGCAAACAGTATTCCAACAGCAGTTGCTCTAGTGCCAAATAAAGAGGTAAAATAACCTCTCTACCTCTATGTGAGAATACCCTGTTTATGCATCCCAGGATTGCATTAGCCCTTTTGGCCACAGCATCGCATTGGGAGCTCATGTTCAGCTGATTATCTGCTACCAACCCCAAATATTTTTCAGAGTCCCTGCTTCCCAGGATAGTCTTCCATCCTGTAAGTATGGCCTACATGCTTTGTTCCTTGATATACACATTGATATTTAGCCATATTAAAAAACACATTGATTGCTTGCACCCAGTTTACCAAGCAATCAAGGTAGCTCGGTACTAGTGACCTGTACTCTTCATTATTTACCACTCCCCCAATTTTTTGGTCATCTGCAAACTATCATCCATGATTTTATGTTTTCTCCCAGGTCACTGATAAAAAATGTTAAATAGCATAGGGCCAAGAACAGCTCCCTGCAGGACCCCTCTAGGAATGCACCCACTTGATGATGATTCCTTGTTTACAATTACATTTTGAGACCTAGCATATAGCCAGGAGAAAGGTTGCAGGGTTTCCTGGACTCCTTCTGTCTTAAAGTGTCCTATGTTACTAAGCTTTTTTTTTTTACATGTTGCTGTTTAATTTGTTCAGCACATGGCTCCCCAAACTTTTTCATAGTGTGGGCCACATGTTAACAGATTGTCTCATAGAGGTTGTTGCCTGCCCAGAACTGGGCCTCGAGATGGCAAACAGGGGTTCGTTGCCCGGTGTGCTTGGCACCAATAAAGACACCGAGGGGAGAAAGCAAGCCAAGTTTATTTCAGAGCTCTGAAATGGCACTAGGAGACCAGCATGTCTCAAATCAAGTGCAACAAATACAAACACATTTTACCTTTTATACTCCAAACTGTTTGCATACATTTCTTTGTCTGGCTTTTCCTCCTTACCCCTCCCTTTCAGACAACTGTTATAATAAACTCTACATAAGCTTGTGAGAAAACTTTCTCAGTCTTTGCGACCTTGGATTAGACGCCTGCAAACTAACTACCCCGCTTCTTATCTCTATTATTTCTGCTAGTGTGAATGAAACTGCAGCCATCTGCTAAAAAGCTGACATTACATTTCTGCTTCAGCCTGCTTTAGAGCATGTAAGCAGTTAGCACAGAAGTAGGTGAGAGTTCCCAAGATGGAGTCACTGTGGTTCACAGACCCAGAGCAGAAGAGCTTCATCGGCACTTTTGGCCTTCCACTCTCCCTAGTTACCTGTTAGCTATGCCTAGTAGACCCCAACAAGGTCATCTCCCCTCCCATTCACAATTGTGCAGCCAATCTCCATGCCCATTAGTGATTAAATAAAATCCTAAAACAACTCTCCATTTGCCCCCAGCAAGCACTCTGTAGACTACTGTTGGGTCACAGTCAGTTTGAGATTTGCTGGTTAAATACTCTTGATACAAAGAAACAGAACTATTGTATTAAACTGATTTTTGTGTGTGCCAGATGGCCACTGTAGAATATTTTTGCAGAGCATGCTTCAATAGCTGAAGGAACTGCATCACCCTGCTGGCTTTGTAGTTAGAGTAGACACTGCCCTGTGAGACACCAAGTTCAGTTTCTTACTCCATGTGGGCCCAGTCCTGAAAGTTGCTGAGCACATTCAATTCCCCTGGCGTTCAATCAGAGTTGAGGGTACACCCCACCTTGTAGGAGTGGGCCCTGCGCTGGGAAATACTTAGGCAACATTCAGACTCTGAGATCAGGAAGTGCCTCACATCACTGTGCAGCAACCCCTGTAACTGAGCAACGCGGGGTGCTGATGTGCTCAAAATGAACCTGCAAACTTTCTCAGCCAAAGCAGGGTGCTGTAGCCCAGCGGGTGGCAGGGGACAGATGGGGTGGGGGGAAGTTTTGGTGGTACTCTTCTAATCTCTGGCCACACACAGAGCTCTGCCCATCTGGGATGCCACTCACAGTACATTGTGCAGACATTCAAGATATAATCATATAAAATGTAGGACTGGAAGGGACCTCAAGAGCTCATCTAGTCCAGCCCTCTGTGCTGAGGCAGGACCAAGAATACTTAGACTATCCCTGAAAAACATTTGTCTAGTCTGTTCTTTTAAAAATGTCCAATGACAGGGATTTCACTACCTCCCTTGGTAACCTATTCCAGTACATAGGAAAAGCTTTGTAACTATAAGAATAGCTAATAGCTAACTTAAGTCTCCCTTGATGTAATTTAAGCCAGTTACTTCTTGTCCTATCTTCCGTGGACATGCAGAACAACTGATCACTATCCTCTTTATGACAGGTTTCAGGGTGGTAGCCGTGTTAGTCTGTATCAGCAAAAACAACAAGGAGTACTTGTGGCCCTCTTTATATGTCTGTAAATGAGTTCACTCACTGCTGGTTGCCCCCTGGTGGCCAGGCTTGGGATAGAAGCTCTCTTCTCTAGCACTCCCCGGCCAATGGCTGCTCCAGCCCTTGGTGATTTTTCTTTCACTGACTCAGCCATCCAGCTGGGTCACCCTCTTAAGTCCACCCCTCCAGGGTCACCATTGTCCATACAAAAAGTCCCCAAACATCTTTAACACAACCAAAGTCCTTATGCCCTCACTGGGACTATTCCTCACACTGTCTTCAGGGCTTAGCCTGCAGCCCCCCTGCTGGGCTCCATAACTCTTATGACAGGCTTGGGGCAAGTAGGGGTCCCACCCTCTATTCTAGGGACTGAAAAACTAGGTCTGCTCCTTTCCCTGTGCTGCAGCTTTCCCTAGGCCACTTCTTATGTAGCTTAAGTTCCCCTCTAGATCTCGCTGTCTCATTCCTGCTTTAGTCAGAGTCTCTCCTGGCCTAGAGAGCTTTTCAATCTCTCCTAGGCCTTCTTACCTGGAGAACTTTCTTTCCTTCCTGCTCTACCTATCTGGCTCTCGCTCCAGTTCTTTCTCCCAGCTAGGCTTTGTTATCACTTATACCTGGCTCTCTCCATTTACCGCAGTCACCTTGTGTTCTTTATGGGGAATTGCCTGATTCCCCTCAGATGAGGCTCATTCTGTAATCAGGTTTGGTTAGCCCCAGGCTTTTCAGCCCATCAGGCAAGCCACTCTGTTACACAGCCCTCAGAAAATTTGAACAATGTTATCTGGTCCCCCCTCAGCCTTTTTTTCCTAAAGACTAAACAGATAGGTGAGTCTCATCTTACGCTGGGGTTACGTTCCGCTGTCAGTGGGTAAAGGAAAATCGCGTATAGTCAAAATTACATTGAGTGTAATGGCGGGCGGAATTGCATGCACTACAGGTACAGTATTTAAATTGTTATTTTTCTCTTCTTGGGGGGGAGGGGTTGTTTTTGTTTTTGCCGACTGCACAAAGCTGAATTTGCGCATGTTAAATGCGCGTAAGATGAGACTCACCTGTACCCAGTTTTTAAAAAAAATATTTCCTCATGTCAGGTTTTCTAAAT